AAAGATTGAAGGCAGGAGGAGAAGGGGACGACAGAGGATGAGATGGTTGGATGGCATCACCAACTCGATGGACATGAGTTTGAGCAAGTTCCGGGAGTTGGTGAAGGACAGGGAGGCCCGGTGTGCTGCAGACCACGGGGTCGCAAAGAGTCAGACAGAACTGAGGGACTGAACTGAACGATTAGGTTGTTAGTTTTGCTTTTCAAATCTACTGTATGTCTATCTGGGAGCATTGGGAGAAAATACAAAAACAGTAAATTGCCGCCATCTTCCCAGATTCCTTCTTAAATGGGCTTTCAACTCTGTAATGAAAGTCAGAACAGGGTTGATAGAAAAGAATACATCACTATTATTGTGGACCATATAATCATTCACTGAAACTCGAATTTGGTGTGCTTCCTCTAGAAGGTTGTCTCCAAATGTTCTGGTCTGTACGCTCCTCTCTAGGTTATGAAATAATTTTCTCGGCCACCAAGAAAACGCGGTTGATATTCCTCTACCCTCTCACAGGTGACGCTCCTTCCCTTCCCCTGCCTTCGACGCTCTGCCCCTCCTCTGCCCTCCAGGCCTAAGAGCAGCTTCTATCCTGGACTCTGCTTCCACTCTTACATCCTCTTCCTCTGGTTCTGGCCTTCCTGCCTCCTCAGCCACCAGCAGGTTGCAGGTAAAATCCAGACCCAAGAAAGGGCCTGGGTAGAGGAGAGAAGTGTGGGGCTTCTGGCCCCAGCGGAGGCTCAGTGCCGGAGGAGGGTAGGAAAAGAAGAACCTGCCAGATGCCCCCAGCCTATGTTTTCTTTCTGGAAGTTTGTGGTTTTAGGTCTTACGTCCAAGTCCTCAATCCATTTAGAGTTAATTTTCATGCTCTGGGCAGCATTTTTAAATACCCACAAGATGAGGAGCAGAAGGATAAAATGATCACTGTCCTCCTTCTGATTTTCCAAACAGCACGCAGGAGCTTTTCTGAAGCCCCCCAGGCTCTGAGACGCGGTCCATCCACCAGCAGCGTCCATTGATGAGTGTGGATGTGGGTGAGGCTCGGGCTGGCAGTCGGCCAGCTGGGGTGTGGGTCCCTGACCAGAGGATGTGGGGGTAGCAGGCCACATATAGTAGCCATGCTTTAGTGGGAATGGATCATAAAGAAAGCAAGGGAATGCCAGAAAAACATCTACCTATGTTTCATCAGCTACACTAAAGCCTTTGACTGTGTGCATCATAATAAACTGCGGAAAGCTCTTAAAGAGATGGGAATACCAAACCATCTTACCTGTCTCCTGAGAAACATGTATGTAAGTCAAGAAGCAACAATTGAAACCCTGTATGGAACAACTGATTGGTTCAGGATTGAGAAAGTACAACAGGGCTGTCTGCTGTCACCCTGCCTATTCAATCTATATGCTGAGTACATCATGAGAAATGCTGGGCAGGATGAGTTACAAGCTGGAATCAAGATAGGAGGGAGAAACATCAACTACTCTAATCGCAGAAAGCAAAGAGGAACTTAAGAACTTCTCAATGAGGATGAAGGAGGAGAGTAAAAAGCCAGCTTAAAACTAAATATTAAAAAAAAAATCAAACAAATCTAAGATCATGGCATCCTTCCCCTTTACTTCATGGAAAATAGAAGGGGAAAAGGTGGACACAGTGACAGATTTCCTCTTCTTCTAAAATCACTAAAATCTCTAAAATCACTCTAAAATCACTGTGGATGGTGACTGCAGCCATGAAGTCAGAAGACAGGTGCTTCTTGGCAGGAAAGTTATGACAAACCTAGACAGTGTGTTGAAAATCAGAGGCATCACTGTGCCAACAGAAGTCCCTATAGTCAAGGCTATGGTCTTCCCAGTGGTCATGTATGGTTGTGAGAACTGGACCATAAAGAAGGCAGAACGCCAAAGAACTGATGCCTTCAAACTATGTGCTAGAGAGGACTCTAGAGTCTCTTGGACAGTGAGATCAAACCAGTGAATCTTAAGGGAAATCAACCCTGAATGCTCACTGGAAGAACTGATGCTGAAGCTCCAATACTTTGGCCACATGATGCAAGCAGCTAACTCATTAAAAAAAGTCCCTGATGCTGGGAAAAATTGAGAGCAAGAAGATAAGGGGCAACAGAGGATGAGGTGGTTGGCTGGCATCACCGATGCAATGGACATGAACTTGGGCAAACTCCCAGAGATGGTGAGGGACAGGGAGGCCTGGCATTCTGCAGTCTATGGGGTCGCAAAGAGTTGGACATGACTGGGTGACTTAACACCAACAAAAATGGAGGTCACAATGCAATGGAATGGTCAGAAGACAAGGCTTAGAAGCGTAGAGCAGGGAGACAAAGAGATGGTTAACAGCAGAGAGGGGACAATGGAAAGCCTGTGTAAGCGGATGTTATCCAAACAAAAGGAAGAAACTTCCCAGCCCTCAAGGACACCCATTGTCGGGTGGTAACGGGACTCAGACCATCACAGCAGCCGGAGACCCAGTCTGAAAGTGTGGAATGTACAGGTTGGCACCATGAGACGAGAACCTAGGGCTTAGGGTCTGCCAGGGTGGGCTGAGCTGGGGAGAAATGGTTGGGACATTACGGGAGGGTGACAAGGGGCTGGGGCTGCTGCTTGAGGAGGAGGGCGTGGAGCAGGGGCGCCCTCCCACAGCAGCCTTCCTTAAAGACCAGCTGGTGTTTCCCGTTCCTCTCCTCTCATCAGCCACCCGGGGAGTCTTCTTACTAGTCAGCAGCTCACAGATCTTTGCAAATCAAACCCCCCTCTGTCAGTGTACCAGGTCCAAAGTAGTTGTGGCAGGCAGATTTATCTTTACTTCCCCAGCAAGACTGTGTTAGCCATGAACACTCTCCTCTGAAAGGGATTACCTGTTTCACAGGCTCCTGTTCCTGCTGGCGTCTGGGTGATGCCTTTCAACCAAGGTAGAAATTAAGTGACATCTAAGTGAAGATGTGGTTCATGTTGCGCTGGGTCTGGAGAGAGGACTGGGGGGCAGGTGAAGGAGCAGAGAAGGTATGGAAGCGAGTGAACTCGGCACCCTGCTCTTTCCGGGAAGACATGGGGCTGTTTGCAGGACTCAGAGGTGAGAGGGGTCTGCAGTGTGGAGCTGGGGGAGAGCAGTATCAGATGGGCTCTGGGGACTTCGGTTCCTGAGGACAGTCTGTGGTGGGGACGGGGCGGGCTCAGGCTCTGTAAGGTCTGATCTTAGGCAGGTCAGAGAGCTTCTTCACGAAGAATTCAAATTGATGGACAAATTGTGGGCACCTCGGACATCAGTTCCGTGGGACGACATTCCTGCAGAAGCCTGACAAGGGGAAGCTGGCCCTGCTGTGACGGAATGACCATTGGATCTGGAGTGTTTATTGTGTTTGTTTCAATATAGAACTTCCTCCACAGTGCGGTCAGCGTGCTTATGAACCAAGCAGAGAAGCACTGGTAACCATTTACTGGGAGAAGCTCAGCCAAGGGAAGAGTGGTGCCCTGAAGCCACTCTGGCCTCCCCCTGGGGATGTGGACACCCAGGGGCAGGAGGATGAAAGAGGATGGACACGAAGATCTGGATGGTTCAAGAGCCAGCAGAAGGGAGCCCAGCACCACAGTGTCCCCCACCCCCCCCACCAGACCCTTTGCCTGATGCTGGGGGCCAGCGGTAGGCGGGCTCCTCTCTGGGCTCGCCCACCATTTCCTGGGACCTCTTTGCTTTCCTGAGACAAGTGCAGGTAGGTTCTCATCTCAAGGGTTCTGACCCCTCCTGGTCGTGGGTCTTCCAGGTCCAGGGGAGCTGATGCCCTCGAAAGGGAGCGGCCGACCCTAGGTCTTGGCAGTGCATGACCAGGGTTCCAGTTTCTTCTGAAAACAATGCCAATCCTCAGCTATTCAGAGATCCTGGGGCTCTGCCATCGCTGCCTGGAACATCATTGCCAAGACCACGCCGCCCTTACCTCACTGCCTAGACGATGCAAAGGCCCAGCCCTCAAAACACACCTGACTGGGGGAAATCAGCCAAGGCCTTGGCGCAGAGGCTGGGGAGCAGCTGGCTGGGGTATGAGTGAGCAGAGCCTCAGATAGTCACTAGTTCTCACATGCTGCTGAAACGCACACAGAAGTCAGACAGGCAATGTCACAAGAATTTGGTCTTACTTTTTGGAACAAGAGATGGGGGCATGAGTCCAGACCAGCTAGACTGAGGCATGGTGACAAACCAGGGGGAAGTCTCAGGGATGGGCAAGAGGAGTGACTTTCCTTGCCTCCTCACAGGCTCATCTTGTTTGGGCTGCAGGGCTCCGGATCCTGGGGGTCTCACCGTCTGCAGTGCTGGACACACCCAGGCAGGAGTTCGGATCCACCAGCTGCCCACGGAACAGTGGGGTTTCAGGCCTCCAGGGGAGCCTGTCCCAGAGGACAAGGTGCATTTTGGTTTCTGAAGAGCCACCCAAGTGTGAGATTCTCTGTCATTTTATTTGCCAATTTGCTGAGCTTTCAAGATGACATATTCCCCGGCGACTTTTCACATCTGCTAATGAATTCAATAAAGCACTTACTGGTGACTTTGTCTGGCTTAATGGTGGTAATAACTTTACATGATTAAACTTAATCAAATGCCATGTCATTAATGAAGCCATGTGTTTTCTGCTGACAAAATTCATAAATGAGATGTCACAACCCATATGTTCACTTCAAGTGACTGTGCAGGGCCTTCCGCATGCCCACAAAGTTACATAGTCAGGAAAATTACTCGCTCAGCAGCGTCCAGTCAGTTACCACACTGGAGTCTGGAAGGTGGAGCTGCCGTGAGACAGTCAGCCCCGGAGCTCTGAGGCTGAAGGTGAGGAGGGCAAACAGCTGACTCTCCCCACATCATGCCCTCTGGACCCTGCAACTCTTTCTGAGTTCCCCGCCCAATGCTCATGGTCATGCTCTAGAGCACCATTTAAGGTAGTGGAGTCAAAGACACATGTTTGATCAGTACAGCCAAGCAAGAAGCGAAACTGGTGATAAGTGGGGAGCGGGGAGGTTTCATCACATGCCGAGGCTGCTAGAAAAGGAGGGAATTCTTGGTGTGCGACAGAATGGATGAGTCTGGAGGACTCACACTCAGGGACACAAGCCTTCCCAGGACAGACACAAGACGGCACTCACACGTTCCAAGGACCAGGGCCTGGCGTTTATTTGTCAGGGGCAGGGGAGACCAGGGGAGGCAGGGGAGCACCACATATAGAGCATATGACATGCGCTGTGTGGGAGCCGCCGCAGGCTGGGAGCAAGCCCTCCAACTGCCTGGTGATCCGGCCCCTCCTCTGTTCCTGGTGTCTGAACCTCTTCTTGCCTTTGATGCTTTTCCTTTTAGACCCCAGGGGGCTTTCTCTATCCTTGAAGCTCGAGTTACTTAATGGAGGTGTTTTATATCCATCCTCTTGTATCATTTTTTATTCCTGGAACACGTGACCAACAGATAAAGAGTTTTCATTTTTTAAGAGATATGTTTATGCACTCACATCTTGAATTTCCCCCTTTATTTCTTCTGTTTTTATCTTTAAGAGCACCAATGATACACAGGTTATTTCCCACGGCTTCCACGCTCAGCCTCCGAGTCTCTTAAGGGCTTTGCAGATGCACATCTGCGTCCTGAGTGGCTCCAGGTTTACTCCCCGGGCCCAGGACAAAGCTTCCTTGACTCCTGACACCTCTTCCTTCTTCTCTTTTCCTAAGAGAGCTTGTCTGGGCTCTCATTTTGTTCATTGATATTGTTATTTCTTATTTCTTTGCTTTTTTGCAATTTTGAAAAAAATTTAAAAATACAGTAAAAGTACAGAGAATTTTTACAAAACACATTGCGTTCGCATAACCCAAATTTAGCTATTTATTTTGTCATATTTGCTTCTAATCCCTTAAAAAGAAAAACAGATACAGCTTAGGAATCCTTTATAAACAACACACAGGCCTGTTCTCACTGATCCAGCGGTAAACAGTTTGGTGGTTTGTATTATTATATTCCTTTAAAAACATTTACATATGTACATAGTCATAATAGTACATAGCCATCATAGTCAATAAAAGAGTCTGAAATGCAGTACTTGAATGCAATCTCAAAAATGACAGAATGATCTCTCTTTGTTTCCAAGGCAAACCATTCAATATCACAGTAATCCAAGTCTATGCCCCGACCAGTAACACTGAAGAAGCTGAAGTTGAATGGTTTTATGAAGACCTACAGGAAACTTTTAGAACTAACGTCCAAAAAAAGATGTCCTTTTCATTATAGGGGGCTGGAATGCAGACGTAGGAAGCCAAAAAACACCTGAAATAACAGGCAAATTTGGCCTTGGAGTATGGAATGAAGCAGGGCAAAGGCTAATAGAGTTTTGACAAGAGAACTCACTGGTCATCATAGCAAACACCCTCTTCCAACAACACAAGAGAAGACTTTACACATGGACATCACCAGATGGCAAACACTGAAATCAGATTGATTATGTATTTTGCAGCCAAAGATGGAGAAGCTCTATACACTCAGCAAATCAAGACTGGGAGCTGACTGTGGCTCAGATCATGAACTCCTTATTGCCAAATTCAGACTGAAATTGAAGAAAGTAGGGAAAACCACTAGACCATTCAGGTATGACTGAAATCAAATCCCTTATGACTACAGTGGAAGTGAGAGATAGATTTAAGGGACTAGATCTGATAGACAGATTGCCTGATGAACTATGGACAGAGGTTCGTGACAATGCACGGGAGACAGGGATCAAGACCATCCCCATGGAAAAGAAATGCAAAAAGGCAAAATGGTTGTCTGAGGAGGCCTTACAAATAGCTGTGAAAAGAAGAGAAGCGAAAAGCAAAGGAGAAAAGGAAAGATATTCCCATTTGAATGCAGAGTTCCAAAGAATAGCCAGGAGAGATAAGAAAGCCTTCCTCAG